CCCCAACCGGGCTCCTGACTCTTTCTGCAGCCTTTCTACTGCTTGTAATTCTACTGCTACTCCTTGGCCCCTTCTTACTGCTGTCTTTCAGCCACACCCCTGATCTTCTGGTAGGAAAGATCTACACCTAGCCTTCTCGGACAATGGCGAAAAATCTCGGAGGTCTCGTGTGCAAGTTGCGCACGTTGAAGATCCCTTGGTGGTCCAAAGTCGAAAAGAGTAGGCTTCGGCCGCCACCCGGGCGAAATTCCGAATTTCCTACCAACTAAAAATGTTTGGTGTGTCCCGCGCGCTCTTATGACCTTATGCAGTTGTGAGCGCCGTAAAACACTTTTTTTTTTTAAAGAAAAAAAAAACTTTCTGTGTACCTTTGCCCCAGCGCACTCTATCCCTCCCGCCACTTCGGCGGCTCCAGCCACGCGTTGACCACGGTCTAGTTTAATTACCCTGGCAATAGCAGACTCCCGGATGGACGGGGCGCGCGGTTTGTGTAAATAAAACAGTCAGAGGAAGGGGTTAATGGTCAGTGCGGAGACCGTTAAAATAGACTGTCGCCACGCGGTGGAATCAGGCGCTCGGCAGTTTTTGGACATATTGGGATTGGAAGAGGGGGGGTGGGATCTTTCTTCTTTTTTTTTTAGTAGAGGTTTTACAGCGCTCGCAACTGCACAACGTCATATGAGCGCCAGAGGTGTTACAAGAGAGTAACAAAACATAAAAAAGAAGAAGGGGAGATAAGGAGGATAAATGTTTGATAGAGGAAAAAAGAAGAAACCACACCAGAGCACCCGCCAACCACCCACAGGGGAGATCTATCTATTCTATATTCTTATTGTTGCCATGAATCATCTTAAAGCGAGTTCATTTGTCTTGCTTTTAATGCTAAAAATATCTATCTATCTTGAATAGAAGAAGTCAAGATATTTGCGAGTGAAGGAGGTGGGGGTCACCTGGTGTCAGAGGTTAACGACGTTGTGTCCTTGGGAAAGGCACTTTACACGAACTTCCCACTTGGTTCGGTCCTATCGGAGACGGACGTTAAATTAGGAGGTCCCGCTTCTTAAATAACCTAATAGTGTTGATAGGGGCGTTAAACTCATACCATTTCACCATTTTCAGAAGTTAAATTAGCGAGGAAATCGCCTACCAAAGTTTTATGACTTTCAATTTTGAAGAGTCCTTGGAAACTGAACATTTACTCTCTTTTTTTTTAGTGCATATTTTCATCTACGTTTTTCAGTCAAATTCATACAGGAAAATGTTTTTGAATGGACGCAAAATGTGTTTAGCCAGAAAAAAAAGTGAGAAGAAAAGAAATGACGTAAAAGGTGTTGAGCCAGAAAAAACCGAAAAGAAATAGACTCTAATTCTATTTGAAAAATTTGACAAAGAGCGGGAAACTGTCGATCTCTTCGACTTCATAATTTTGACGAGCGCCTGATTTCCCCACGACGCCTCACGATAATGTCCAGTAGTTCTAGTGGTCACTGGGACAGATTCCCTGACCTGTTACACATTACATATTTATGAACTGTCCCGCCGGTCTGGCGCAGTTGTTAGGGACTTGACCAAGACGAGGAAGTGTGTGTGTGTGTGGGGGGGGGGGGGGGAGGTTCGAATCCGGGCAAGGTTTGGAGCTATCTCATTCCCTCTGATAGGAACTTGACCAAGGCCAGGAAGTGTGTATTTTTTATTGCGGGGGTTAGGGGAGGGGTTCAAATCCGGGCCCAGTTTTCATAATATCAGAATTTTTCTTGCATATAATACGACAGGGGCAGCTTAATGCATTAATGGGAAACCAGGTAAAAGAATGGTGTACCGTATGTTATTATTTATATATTGTAGTTGGGAGATAAATGTTTCACAACAACTGGCCTAATTTAAACATTTGAATAAACAAACGAACGGGGGCCCTCGTGGCCTAGAGGCTCATTCGCTACGTATTATTTTCGGTTTGTGGACGAATTCTTTTCGGGAGGGCGAAATGAGATGATGACTAGTGCGCAGTTCGCAGGTCTTTGGTGACATAAATTCAAATAAATATCAACATATTATATACCAACATTTTCAGTATGGTTTGTAGAATACACCTGCATTATTTATTTGCGTATTTTTCAACTTTGGTTCCTGTAAGAGGCGATTATGCAACACAATTGTGATTGGATGCAGATAAAATTGGAAAATAAAAAATTTATAATCTCAGGTGAAACTAAAAAAACATGTTTGCACCTTGTCAAATGATACCTCAAAATAACCATAAATGTATATAGAACAGGAAAATATTGAAAAATGTGCAGTTATTTCCATACATTCCATAATATTTGTACATTTGATGAATCATAACATCCGATATTGAAAAAAAAAATTTTTTAAATAATTTTGAAAAAAGGATCACAAACAAAACAAAAATACGCGTAACTTATATGGAATTATTCAGAATTGCACTTGGAATAAACCTATACATGTCTTGAGTGGTACTTTTAGATTAATTTCACCCAAAAGTAGTGATTTTGGGGAGAAAAAAACATTTTGACTATTTAGATCTAGGCCTAGATCTAGCACTCAAAAATATTGATTTCTCAATTACAGTGCACCGGCAATTTGCGTCCAATAGTATCAATATTATAAAAAAGAGTCCTACACTTCTTTAGTGAGCAAAATAATTATACATTTTGTTGTGTAAAAGTACTAAGACTGGTGTCTGGGCTATAATTTGGGCTTCGCGATAAAACAAAGTCGAATAAACAACGAAATCATGTTTCAAAACTGAATCAAAACTTCCGATTTTCGGTGGAAACACTTGACCCGGAAGTCAACATTATATTATGACCTTTCTTTTAACATGGATAAGTGGATTGGAATAGAAACCAAGCTAAAATTGAACGTCGGTTCTCGAGCCGCCGGGGGCGGCTTAACGTACTGACGGCACTTGAGCCGCGCCGCCCCCCACGGCTCGGCGTAGCGAATGAGTTAAGGTGTTGGCCTCTCATTCAAAGGTCCCGGGATCGAATCCGGGTAACGACCGAAAAATTTTCTTCTCTAAAATTGTCTCTTTTCACCTCCTTTCCTGCTCTCTAGCAATGTTCTGTCGTCTGCTTTCATTTCCACTTTCTGCCCCCACCCCCTCACCTCCTTTGCCCCCTCCTCTGGGCTCCTGACTCTTTCTGCAGACTTTCTACTGCTACTCCTTGGCTCCTTCTTACTGCTGTCTTTCTGCCATACCCCTGATCTTCTGGTAGGAAAGATCTACACCTAGCCTTCTCGGACAAGGGCGAAAAATCTCGGAGGGCCCGTGTCTAAAATATCTAAAAATCGATATGAGTAGGCTTCGGCCGCCACCCGGGCAAAATTGAAAATGTCCTACCAACTGAAAATATTAGGTGTGTCTCGCGCGCTCATATGACCTTATGCAGTTGCGAGCGCCGTAAAACACTTTACAAAAACAAACAAACAAATTTGAATAAACAAACGAACAAAGTAAACGCAAAGCATTGGCTTCACTCTGACTCAGTCAGTCTATTGTCTGTCTCTGTGGTTTTGTGAATCGCTAAATACATGGAGAGTACGTACGCCTTCCACAGAGTTGTGGTGGTTCATATGACGCATGCTGTGTATCCCATGGGCAGCTAGATCTAGACCATAGAGTGATCTAGACCTATAGCTTGTTCACTTTCGTCTTACCGCGTAAACATTTTT